AGAAGTATGTGAATATACTGAGTTCACTCTACTCACATACTTCTGGTAGCGTAAGGGTCTACGGCGAGCTGAGTAAGTCGTTCGTAACTAGCAGCGGTGTTCGTCAAAGGTCCCATCTTTCGCCGTTCCTATTCAATTTCGTCATAGGCAAAATACTGGAGGACACTCTAGGTAGTCTCCAAAATGTAGATATTGAATGGGCAGCTTTAGAAAAGCTGTGCGATTTGGAGCACACTTACGACATCGTTTGCTTGTTTGAATGTATGGATGATGCACAAGGAGCACTTGACAGATTATCAAGTTCTATCGCTCCGTTCGACATGTGCTTTGCATCTTCAAATTACAAAGTAATGCTACAAGACTGGGTGTCACCGAGTTGTGTTTTGAAATTAGACGGTCAGGAATTAGCTGAAGTTGACTGCTTCTCGTACTTAGGTAGCTGCGTGACCAACGACGGTAGCGCATCAAAGGAGATAAACAGTCGCAGTTCCAAGGCTCGAGCATCGTACGCAGGACTAAAACACCCGTGGTGGCGACGTGACATTTCACTAAAGTTAAAAAGTCGCGTATACTGCGCCACTGTACGATCAGTTCTCCTGTACGGTTGAGACCTTGAGTTTGCAGGTGGAAGACACCCGTCGTTTAGCAGTGTTCGACAATCGATGCTTATGTAGTCTGGCCCAAGTGGGATGGAGTGAGCGGGTTAGTAACTTAGAAGTAAGTCATCGGGTGTTTGGGAGTGCATCGAACAAGAACTCGCGGTCTCATCGAATCCAGCTCAGTAGGCTCCGTTGGTTAGTACACGTTGCGGTCGTCTACCGCAGCGCGCCTTGTTTGCAGTGACTGTTACAGGTTGGAGAAAGCCACGTGGAGGCCAGCAGATGACGTGGAGACGAGATATGAAGAAATGCACCGAGCGATTAAGTAGAGTAGGTGTCTCTCGTCTTCCGGGTTGGAGTCCAAAAGACTCCGAAATCGCATGGTTGGAGACACTGAAGGTCATAGCTGCAAACCGACAGCAATGGCGATCATGCTGGCACTTATCAGTCCAGAATGCTTGAACTAGTATGTATGCACAGTAGGGCTGTGTACTCTGTGTGTTGACCATAAAGGCTCGCTTTCTTTTCCCGTCCTTAGAAATAGGCTCAATCCCTGTCCTCCTTACACATTCTTATCTATGCATTATGAGTTTGGCAGCAATCAGTGAAGTTGTTGTAAATCCGTACCGCCAACCATGGATTTTAACTTCATCAAATTGGTCAGATGATTTTGTCGTAAACGTATCTTACGTGCATCGTTCTTCATCAGGATTTGTTGCTTGCATTTAGCATATATTGTAGGTAAAACTTTAATCAAACAGTGATCGGAATTGACTAATGGTACACCTTTGAAGGCACGGAAAAAAGATAGTTAGTTAACGAAAAAGTGGTCCAAGGAGGCATCATTTCGAGAGGAAAAAGTAACAATGTTATCAAAGGACATAAGTGTATAAAACCTCCCATAAGAACTGTTGAAATCTCCAGAAACCATAAATATAGATGTGATAGATTTCTCCAACATGATTGGATAGAGTACATCCAGGAAGGTAGACAACTCACCAGGAGTACAGTCAGGAGTGATGTATAGGTTTGAAAAGATGATCGAAAAGTGACACAAGAGAAAATTTGGTTTACATTCTACAGAAATACAATAAATGTTTTGTGTGCGGTGAGTGAATATGCATTTGGTGTAGTTACAACACGACCGGCGCACATAAGTGATGACACCTCCACCTTAAGTTTTCCTTCCTGGAGGTCTATCTGCTCGAAATAATTGGAAGCCTTCGATCCGAACCAATTCGTCCTCGACGGATTCTTGTAGCTAAGATTCTTGGAAAAGTAGCACATCTTTTGAAGTACTCACCGTGGTAATCAGAAGACCGATGTCCGATAGCTTAGAAAGAATTGGGCAGACATTCGACGAAAGAATGATAGGAAAGCCAATACTCTTCAGGTTTCGGTGCTCAAGTGCAACTTTCCAGCCAGTGCGATGTTTTTTCCGTTTCCCATGTGAATTTTTGGTGATCTTTTTAGCCCTATTTCTCACAAAACGAGAAAAAGCATGTAAGGATGGTTCGTTGATATATCCCACGAATACTCGTACGGAAATTAAACTGAGCGCGTTGTAGGTTATCATTGAGGTCAGTCAGTCAGTTTGCATAGAACAGGGGATTACCACGGCCAATCGAGCGTCCAGAGTTCCTTCGGTAGTAAGCCACGCGTTGGCCCCTACCACTGCGGGTGTTCTATATTGTAGCTCTACAAGTTTTCTTCTCTTCCCAGTCGTCTCCGCCTCTGCAAGGGAAGAGAAAGGAAAAAATCTCCCCTTGTTCAGGCGAGAGACCTCACATTTGGAAGCGTTCCTCTGTTGGGGTGGTTAGCAAATGAAAAACCTACCACTTTTTCCAGATCTTAACCTCTGCGTCTACTTCGGGAAATAAGTTCAACCAGCGCTTATTGAGCTCCTTGAACGCATGTACGCTCCCTAGCTCCACTAGCTCCTGTGGTAACTTATTCCATGAGTTGACTACCCTGTTGCTGAAGAAGTTTGCACGCACCGCTAGTCTCGTGCGCACTTTCTTCAACTTGTACATGTGTCCCCCAGTATTGCTTTGCATCCTCTCGAAGAACACTGCTCGATCCGTCCCTGATAAGCCATTCATAATTTTGAATGTCTCCATCACGTCACCCCGGAGTCTTCTTTCCAAGGAGAAGAGTCCAAGGTCCTGCAGTCTCTGCTTATACGACTTCCCTCTCTCTCCTCCGATCATCCTTGTGGCTAATCTTTGGACCCCGTCGAGACAAGCGGCGTCCTTTTTGAAGAAGGGAGCCCAGTCTTGTATACCATACTTTAAATGCGGTCGAACAATGGCCTTGTATAGAGGTACGAATACCTCCGGTTTCCTACATGTTAGTGCCGACCTCAGTCTAAAAAGCTCTCTATGGGAACGGTGCGCCGCTGCGACACACTGTTATGCTCATTTGTAATCTGTTGTCACTACCTCTAGCTTTCTGTGTCGTTCCCATTGGAAGACCGCCATGACTACTCCCCACTATCAGCCCCTCGTCTCCACTTGAGCACTTCTTCTATGTCCCTCCCTAATTCCGCTCTCCCATTTGATCCCACAACCTTGACGTCGTCCGCTAGGCGAACCAAGGCGTTCAGGAAGATCATTGCTGAAGCGCAAGAAAAGGAGTGGACCTAGAACTGATCCTTGAGGAACACCATTAGCAATAGGTTCCACTGACTAGTTCGCTTCTCCNATGTTACCCCTTATCCCAAGAGCATCTATTTTGGCCAAAAGTAAGCGATGACATACTGAGTCAAATGCTTTGCTAAAGTCCAGATAGCATACTTCCACTTGCTTACCCTCATCCAATCTCGCTATGACTTCATCTAAAAGTGCAACAGATTGCTGAGATGAGATTTTCCCTTCCGGAACCCATGCTGTGCCGCAATCAGCAAGCGGTGCTGAGTGAGGTCACCGTAATGGATACAAAATTAGATCAAGAGGTTGTGTGTGATGATAAAACCAAAGCTCCAGCGATAACAGAAAATGACACGACCAATTTCAAAGGCTCCTCCAGTGAGAAATACAAATTGATCCGTTTGCTTTACCTTACGTCACTTTTTTCACAAGCGTGAAAATCAGTTGGCTCAAGATTTCATCGAGGCTACATAAACTATAAGCTGACTCTTCCCCAAATTCTGATCCAAGACATTCCTTTCATATAATCACAATTTATACCTAAAATTAAGAGCGGCCTTCGAAGCGTCTGATGGAGAAATTTACTGCAGTTTTACGCTTACGTATATGAATACCCGAAATCTCATTCAATCGAAAAACCTTTCCTCTCGGTTCATCACTGAAAGTGGTGTTCATCAGGATTACCCCATTTCTCTCACTTTACAGTGGATGGGACGCGGTAATTGACCCTGTCTTTGTGTGATCATAGTGGCACCCCCTTGCTCCCATATAATAGTCTGATCGAGAATATACAGACAAAATGAATAATCAAGGAGTTTGGAAATTTTTCACTGCTTCGCACTGTATAAAGTCCTGTTTCGAGCTTTGTTCGGCGCAGCTTTCAATCTCGCACCAACTGTGTAAGAAAATAATCATGTTGGGGAATTTTTGCTGCTTGGACAGCGATATCTCTCTCCCAGCGAACGAATCTCAAGATTAGAGGTCTATGCTGAAGGCCCGATCGCTGCTTTCACTAATCCGAAACACATTTGGCACCACCGCGACTTTCGGTTGTTCGCGGGCAGACGGTTGTGTACTGAAACTGTCCGCTTAGTGCTGATGTATTGCAGAGATGTGGTCGTTGGTTTTCGAACTCCATTGGGTACGGTGTTTTGCACCAGTGTGATGGTACAAACGTACGAACAATGCTAATAATAGACGAAGAGTGTCAGATGCAAGTACTTCACCGTCGACAGTTGCGGTGGTTGTGGTTTATTCTACATTTCACCGCATGGGCTTTCTCGTAGTGTGATGTTCGCTGAGCCAGATATTAGGTAGAAGTAGGTGAAGAGTTATCCGACTACGACCTGGTAATGACTACGGGATTGGATCAAGTAGATCTCAAAGTTCCTGATTAGAAGCTCATGATTAGTCTGTCCTGGGTGGTGATGACCAAGTGGTCCAAGTCACTGTCATCGACCTACTTTGAACCTCAGGGTCCCACCTTTGAACCTTGCCATCACAACCACCACTTAACTTTGATGGTAAGAAGATCCGCTATCACTCGGCTCGTTACCACTCCTACGGCAGTGGAAGCTTATGTGGTTCTCTGGTTCACCAGTCTCAGGGCTCAGCTATAGTGGTGAGTGAACACCAGGTCCTTGTGATTTTGGGGTTTATCCCTTCTGCTGTTACATAAGTGTGCGGTATTTAAAAAAAGAATGCATCCCTCTGCCGGCCATCTCTCATAATTCCAGTCTGTTTTCATCTACAGGAATACAAAGCAGAATTGCATTTCAAATGTACCCGAATTGCCGAGGCTCTGGCCAAGTCGCACAATTGCACAATTAATCCGGATGTGATATGCTTATTGACTGAGTTAGTGTTTCGCTATCACCAAGTACTAGCCACAGATTTGGAATGCTTCGCCAAACACGCGAAACGAACGACCATCACCGTTGATGATGTGCTGTGCTTTGCGCGTCGGAATCCGCAGTTGGTGAGTAGCATTGATCTCCGCAATCCTGGTTGAGTCTAATTGTTTGGTCAACTTCCAATAGCTTTGTAATGTCTTATTTTTGAATTGTGTAGAGATCAGCAGCTCCAGATGGGATTCGAACACACGCATGGCATCACCTACGCTTTTTGTATAACACACATCCTACCAGCTGAGCTACGGGGTCACACCGACAGAAATAGTCTTTTCATGTTTGAATCAACAGAGAGTACTATTCGGTTTTTTCGTTCTTGTTAAGACTCGTCAGTAGTGCGTAATATTTGCCCCTCTGCCGGGATTCAAACCGCGAAATCACTGTCACCGTTATGGTATGGGCCCTACGGTCCGTGGTTCGAAACCCGCCACAGCTGTCCCATCTAGCTTGTAGAGAGTTTCACTATGGTGTAGCTCGATAAAGCGCCTCAAATAACCTATGCTAGTGGGGCCCTATGTGGTTCACCACTTCTTATCGCTTAGGTAACCGGTTCCCATAAGTGAACAGTAGGCTTCGTGACTAAGTGCGTTTTGTGGCGTTACCTTATCGCATTATCACTCCTTTTGATCGTCTGTCTGATGCATTGGAGTCGTACATAAATACATTACAATTTGTTGTTACTCAACAGGTTCAGGCACTCAATACACATCGTCAAAATCAGCAGCAGCAGCAACCACAACCGAATGCTCAATCATCTCATGCAGCCACGAAGAAATCTGCCATCAACTCAAAATCTGCTGGTCTTCCGTCAGTCATGATAAAGCCCAAAACGAGCGATGATAATGTGCCAATGGAAACACCACGAACAGACGAGGATTTGCTGATCAAATGTACATCCACTCCACCAGACGCTGTGCAGGCTGAGAGCCTGACCGATTGGTTTGTTGATCTGGAGTGACACGGTCACCCAGGACGCGACAATCCACCCCTCCCCTTGCCTACCGCGAAGTGCGCAATCATGTACAGATCATTGCATAGGTTTTTTTATTACAATGGTTCCACGTTATACCCAACAATTGTTTTCTTATTGTCAGGATTTCTTGTTGTTGCGCACAGAGTTCATAATCGGTAAGCGGTTCAACTGTTAACTGAGGCACGGTAACCACTGAAGGCAGTGGAATAGATGCAGTCAACGGTCCCCAACTACTTTTATTACATTTAAGAACATAAGTTTCCAATTTCGTGAACTATTATGGGCTTGGTGATGGGTCATAATCACCTTGAAAGTTTCCATCATGTTGATTGGAACCTAAAGGAATTCCTTCATCTTGGGGCTAATCACTGATCGTTTCCATTTTCAAGAAAGGGTCTGGCAGCGATTGCGAAAACCACCACGGGATAAGTGTGATCCCGATGGTCACCAAAGTGCTAGCCTCGGTCATAATTCAACCTCTGACTTGTTTAAGAAAGATCAACATCCGTGAGCAGCAATCCGGATTCCGGCATGGCCATGGATACATTAATCATCTTTCTACGTTCCGTCAGGTCCTTGAGCTGCATCACACCCACCGTCGACCAACGATCCTTGACCTGAAGGGAGCCATCGACTCAGTTGACCGCGAAGCTCTAATTGGTTCCCTTCTTCAAAAGGGAATGCCCCAGACGTACGTTAGCTTGCTGAGGTCACTGTACTCACATACCTCGACTGACGGGTTTACAACGGACAAAGTAGGCCGTTCTTCACAAGCAGGGGCGTTCGTCAAGGATGCCCTCTTTCTCCGTTTCTGTTCAATTTCGTCGTAAACGAAATGCTGGAGGACGCAATAATTGGTCTCAAAAACGCTGGTATTGAATGGGCCGCTGGAGAAAAACTGTGCGATCTGGTGTACGCCGATGACATCGGACACGCTAAGCGCACTCGATAGACTAACAAGTGCTATTGCCACATTCGATATGTGCTTTTCACCTTTAAAGTGCAAACTGATGCTGCAGGACTGGGGTTCGCTCACTTCCGTTTTGAAACTGAATGGCTAAGAATTAGTTACGGTGGATTACTTTTCCTACTTAGGTAGTTGCGTGACCAGCGACGGTAGCGCAGCAAAAGAGATAACCGCCCGCATTTTCAAGACTCGAGCAACACGCGCAGGAATGAAACACCGTTGACGTAGACGCGACGTTCCACTGAAGTTGAAAGGTTGTGTATATTGTGCGACTGTTCGTTCAGTCCTGCTTTATGGTTGTGAAAACTTGAATTTGTGAGTAGAATAAATCCACCAATTAGAAGTTTTCGATTATCGGTGTTTACCTAGTTTATCCCAGGTGGGATGGAGCGAACGGATAAGTAATCTGGAAGTAAGCCACTGTGTGTTTGGGAGTCTCTCACGGGTAAACCTGCTAAAACACCGAATTCAGATTAGAAGACCTCGCTGGATCGGCCACGTATTGCGTATGCCTAGTTGTCGTCTTCCGCACCGTGGTTTATTCGCTGTAGCTGTTCCGGGCTGGAGGAATCCCTGTGGAGGTCAACAGATGACGTGAGGACGAGGCATGCGGAAATACACAGAACCATTAGGTAGAGTAGGTGTCTCGCACCTTCCAGGTTGGGTTCTGAAAGACTGAAACCGGTTGGTTGTAAACATTGAAGGATATGGCAGTGAAACGCAGCAGTGGCGTTCTTGTTCTCATTTTTTATCAGGTCAGAATGCTTGAAACGGTATGTATGCAGAGCTCAATTGTGTACTCTTTGTGTTGATCATCGAGGTTCACCTTCTTCCTTCTCGTTCAAAGTAGATCCAATCTCTGTCCAGCTTAAATATTACTACTGACATTGTATGCATTTGGAGTTTGGCAGCGATGAATGAAGTTGGCTTCACTGTATTTTGCTGTACGATGATGTTGGTGAAACGGTTGTTTCGCGACCGCGGAATATGCCTGTGTTGGTTTTAGTCTAAAGACTCCGATTTTGCGTCAATCGGTTTGGAAGATTTTACAGGTCGATTGGTCATGTACTGTCAACTTGCTACGTCATTGAAAAGAAAAAAATTCGAAAACCTTTGTTAAGGAAGTTCCGGTGATGCATAGCCACCGAATTCGCTGGGGTTTCGAACCGATCACCCCTTGAGCTATCCAAGGTGATCATCAGAAGATGGCACTGCCAATGGATTTTGTATGCTGCCAGTGTAATTTTTATCCCTTTTATTAAAATCGAGTTTGATCTGCCGTAAGTTTTCAATTAGATGCAATCCGGACTCAATTGCGCTGCAGTTCTCTAGCCTAATTAATCATTTTTGGCGCCTATTTGAACTACTGTTGTCCATGTACTTACACAACACACACTCGTTGTCCTGGTTGGCTAATTTCCCTTTTTGAGTACATTGACTGCACTCTTCGTCAGTTGTTGCATGATCTTCCGCTTTTCTTGAACTGCTCCGAAATCACGCATCCATTCCGATATTGTTAGTTTAGCCTCGAATGTTGTTTTTTACATATACCTTAATTGTATCCGTGTTTGAAAATTAAAATGCTAAACAATTACCGGTGGCCTCGGGTTGTAGTGAGCACCCAGCCTACGAGCTAGTTTATTATGTTTTTGGTGAGGATCGATCGAAACTCCCAAAATTCTGGTTGTGTGGTATGTTTTCGGATCACAAGTCGTCAGGAGAAAATTTTTTCTCTCTTTCGTTTTATGCAATATCGTGGGCAAATGTTGTTTGTTGCTTGGCAGATAAAATAAGACCATCGTCTTACATTTCGATATGAAAAGATCAGCGACCTTGGTGGGATTCGAACTCATGTATGGAAATCGCCTCACTCCGCGGCCACAATCTGAATATCATTTGCTTCAGACATACGGTTTGGACGCGCCATTTGTGCAATTCACGAGCGTAGTGATTCACCGAACTCGAGAATTTTTCCAAGGAAAGGCAGAAAATTTCAACGATGGAGACAATCGCCAGCTTAGTTCCCTCATTGCTGTTATGGTTAGAACAACAGTCAATTCTTAGGCAACAGTTCTTATGGTGCATGGTGTTCGGTATCTCAGCCTGGTTCATCAATCCAGTGATTGAAGGTGTGCATGTTCAAATATCTGATAATCGTCGTACAGAGAAGTAGAGTGAAGCGTACTTTTCTAGTGGGTGACAGGCTCAGAGCGCGTGCAGAGTAGGTAAGCACGTATAAAGTCGTCAAGAGATGGGCCTCTGGACACTTTGGTCAATAAACAGAATACAAAGTTTAATTATGCATGCACACCTTTTCAAGCGCTCTGACCGCACAAAAACGAAAAAATGACGGCACCACAGCTGTTAGTTCGCATCCGTGTTTTTTAGGGTTCATAGCCAACCAACCAACCACAAATCGGAAAACCGGATGCACCTACTTCAGCTAATTACTAGGTCCATTTCTTCATTCCCCTTCTCCACGTCATTTGTTGGTTGCCATGTGATTTTTATAACCTGGAGCGGCAACTAAAATTAAGGCTTGTTGCGGTAAATGGTATGGTTATGGGCGATAACGTATCCCAATGGAAGGAGCCGGCTGATTCGAATACTGTGCATCTGTACGATTGTTTTACACTTCTCCGAATGTCTGACTGACAGTTCAGTCAGGTTTATGCTTTGCCGAAGTTCCCGGTGGATGGATGGATGCAAGTGGCTTTGTGAAGGGTCATGGTATAATAGATGTGGACTCCTGAGGTATTTTTCTGGACCAACGCTAAACGGGAATCAATATGGTGGTTATCACGTTGCATGAGTCGATCGTCAGTGGAGGTGGATACGACAAGACCGATGATTGTTAAACTGCGATTCAAGGCTGTAACTTCCTGTTTCACCTGGCCGGTAAAAATTGCAGACGAACAATACAGCATTGTGGGCGGTGGTAGTGCGGCGGATTAATCGCTGTCATTGCTCCGAGGTTCGAGCCCCGCCACCAACAGCTTTGTTGTCATCCGGTTCTATAGCACGCCAACATGTCAGGGTCTTATGTGGTTCGTCACTCCAAGTCCCGGTCATTAGGCTACCGATTTCCATGCCTGAACAACTGGTCCCCGTGACTGGGGTTCACCCCGTTTGTTTTTCATCACCATAAAAATAGAGCACATTGAGCGGCGAACTTAGAAATGATCGGCTGTGGAGCTCGGGACCGTTTTAGTTTTCGGTATTTTTAGGAACGTACACCGCATTTTTGCAACACAACTCAACACGAGATGTCTATCTTGGATTAGTGTATAAATCAACGCTCTTGGGCTTTACAGGACTAAGTATTGATGGAAAATTGGAATTTATTCGGACAAGATCAATTAGTAACGGAGGTTAAGAAAGTCTCAGAATGCCGTCAAGATATTTAGAGGGTTTTTATTCTGAACCAGATTGCTTTGAGAAACGTTCTGTTTGAGATGAATTGTCTTTGAGTTTTCAACCATTAGAGAAATGGTATGACAAGGAACGGATGTCGCTGGCCTATTTACCAAATATCACGGACTGGGAACATCCTGGAGGTTCACTTATATACGTGGAAAACACACTGTTCGTGTGCGGGGCTAGTGGTGTCGAGTTGCTCTCGAGTGGTAGACTGTCTGACCTAGAGTGTGTAGACGACACTGTAGTGCTAAGTGAAGATCCAGGCACGTTTCAAGCTTTTGTGGATATTTTCAGTGCCACTATAACCCTGTTCGGTATGCGTTTTGCATTTTCAAAGTGTAAAATGCTGCTCCAATGTTGGGTTGGTCGGGCCCCCAACCTCACTCCAACTGTGACAGTAGTAGAGAAAGTAGGTGCATCAAGGGTGAAGTGTCGGCCCGCATACAGATGGCTCGATTGGCACTTGCTAACTTGAGACATTTGTGGCGCCGTCGTGACATCCGGTTGTCTGCGAAGAGTCGATTGCATGCTGCAGCAGTTCGGTCAGTTCTGCTATGCGATACAGAAACTTGACCATTAAGAAAACAGGATAAGGATA